ACGCAGTTGCAGATGAAGTTATGATTTTCTGTCTTAAGGCTAATATTCCAACTATAGCAAAGCCTCATGTAGTTGCTAAACTAAAGAGTATTCACAGGCAACATGTTCAAGTGTCTAAGCACAGAAGTAGAAAATCAGCTACTCAACACAGCTATGAAGAAAAATTCACTACCAATATGTTTATACTTTTTGATATTGCCCATAGTGAATGGCATTGTCTCATCAAGATAAATGAAGATAAACAATTTCTGATAAACCAGAGAGGCTCCATAAAGATGTTAATGACATCGGAAGACCTAATGTAAAAGAAAGCAGTTGTAAAATACAGAAAACGCATACTTGAAGAAAAAAGATGCTATGAACAACATAAAGAAAGTAAAGTTAAATCTACAGAAACATTAATGACAACTCAGATTACTCTTTGGATGAAAATTCTGACTGTGATGCGTCAATTCAAATACAAAAAGTTTTTATTCGTCGAAAAATTTCAAAACATTCTACTATGGGTACTAGTCAATTCTCAATTACAGTATCCAAACGTTGTATTCTTGATAATCAACTCTTTCATGCAGCATTAGACTGACAAGCAATGATGGTTGTCACACCAGCCCTAGCTGCAATCGGTATTGATGTAAATAAATTAACAATATCACGTTCCACTCTAATAGAAGCTCGAACTACATCTCGCGAATCTCTTTCAACAGCAGTAAGAAAAGATTTTCAACCCTTGGTTCCGCTAGTTGCTCATTTTGATAGTAAAATGTTGTCATATGTTGATAGAACCAGACGTGAATGTCTGCCAATTGTTGTATCTGGCTTGGATATTGAGAAATTACTAGGGATCCCTGAAATACCTGCTGGTACTGGTGCTCTGATGGCACAGAAGGTAGTTAAGTTCATTCATGAATGGCCTGGCGTCAAGGAGCATCTTGCAGGTCTTTGCTTTGACACAACTGCAAGTAATACAGGAAGTTATAACGGGGCAATAACCGCCATACAGAAGTCAATGAACCGAAGAGTTTTGTTTTTAGCCTGTAAACATCATATTCTTGAAATCTGTGCTAATACAGTGTTTGATACGTTTTTTGTATCAAAAGGACCAAACATTGAACTCTTTGGTAGAGTGAAGTCAAAGTTTGAGCCACTTGAAAGTGATACAAGCGGAACTGAATGCCTTACAAAGCTTAAAAAAGAGTGGCTTGCATCTCGAAATTCCGATGTGGTGGAAAATTTAAAAAAAAACTTAAAGGACACTCAACCACGTGATGATTTAAAGAGTTTGGGCAACTAGCTCTTCTCCTTTTGGGAGAAATTAATGATACAACAAGTATTCGCCCTCCTGGGGCTTACCATCGTGCAAGATGGATGGCTAAAGGAATATACTGTTTAAAAATTTTTGGTTTTCGCCATCAATTAAATGTCACAGATAATGAAATTGGGATTTTAAGAAGAGTTTGTCTCTTCATTACCACAATTTATGTATGTTTCTGGTTTTCAGCACCTCACAACAGAATCACCAAAAAATGATCTCCTTCTTTTAAAAGTAATCAAGAACTATTGTCAAGTTGACAGCAAAGTTGCAAATGTTGCAAAAAATAAAATTAAACTTCAATTATGGTATTTAAGTGAAGATCTAGCTGCTCTCCCATTATTTAGTGAAGAAATTTCTTTTGAAGAGAAAATGGAAATTGTAAAAAAAAATGCCTTACAAAAAGAACCACTACCAGGTGACAATAGAAGACTTGCTTCAAACAAGATTTATACATTCTCTAAACTTTCTATAGCTAACTTTGTTACACGACGCTCAATGAATTTGTTTGACTCCATCAATCTACCAAAAGAATTCTTGACATCGTCCCCTAAATCTTGGGCTAATCGTGATGACTACAAGGCTGCTTGTAAGATTGTTCGTGCCATGAAAGTGGTTAATGACTGTGCAGAATTGGCAGTTAAATTAGCCACTGGCTTTAATGAAGTTTTGACAAAAAATGACAATCAGCGTCAGCTTCTTTACCAAGTAGTTGAGTATCATAGAAAAAAAATTTCAACTGAAGCTACAAAGAGGCAGTTAAGCCATAATCATTCTAAATAACAGCAATTTAATCTATTCAAATATGCATACATATAATATGAACTAAATATATAGTTAAGTACATATATGGCTATTGTTTTTCTGTAGTATTCTAATTTAGTAATATGTAAAGGTTTGATTAAATTATGTATGTTTTTTTATTAGAATAATTTTAAATGTTGTTACTTATAATATGTTTTCTTGATCGCATAAAATCATATTTTTCATTCTTTTAAAATTTTTGCTTGAGTAAATTATTTTTTGTTATTTTTAATTTATAAATTTGAATAAGGGCTGAGTTAGAAATGACTGGTAGAGGGGCATATGGGATCTAGTTTGGAGCATATGGGTCACTAGTACTCACAATTTAAAAAATTGAAGAAATGTTAAAAAATCTTTTTTAAGTTGTTATAACAACTTTTTGTATTTTACCACCCTTCCCCTTGCCCTAAGTTACCTCTGCTACATACACTCATACATTTGTCTTCACCCTAATAAATAAAATTATTGCATGTAGCACTGACAATAGTTTATTCTAATGCGTTTTAGAAAATTATCATTTTTAACAAAAACGGGCCTCAAAAGGGCTTAAAAAACATGTCCGAGTCCTAGTGCCCTGAGGGTGGGGTCTAGGAATTTGTCACTGCTAGATACATTCTTTTTATCGTTATCACCCTAATAAGTAAAACTGATGCATGTAACACTGATACTTATTGATTTTAATACATTTTAGAAATATGTCATTTTGTTCAAAAACGGGGTTCTAAAGGGCTTACAAAGCAGGTGTCGGGGACCACTTCCCATCATCAGTTTGGAAAAAAATTTTATCAGTGAACTTTTTTTATTGAACCTCACCAAATAGAGGGTGTGCAACATCAAATTCAAAAAAAAAAAAAACCACCTTAATATATATATATACATACATATATATATATATATATATATATATATATATATATATATATATATATATATATATATATATATATATATATATATATATATATATATATATATATATATATATATATATATATATATATATATATATGATATATATATATATATATATATATATATATATATATATATATATATATCTTAAAAAGTCATTTCTTGTTATACGATATATATATATATATATATATATATATAATATATATATATATATATATATATATATATATATATATATATATATGTATATATATTTAATATGTAAGTTGATTTTAATAAAAAAGGCAGCGTATAACTATTTTTAAATATATTTTGATGTAAAAATATATCAACGATATTTCGCTGACCTATTGTGGTCAGCGTCATCAGGTAATAATAAAAAACGTTACAAAATAACATAAAAACAAACCGTTTAAAAAGAAGACATTAAAAAGCGTCAAATATAAAAACCAATTAAATATATTAATGACGTCAGTTAAATTTTTGTCAAAATGGGTCCCCAAGTTCTTGTTTTAACCTTATCCCCGTCATCTCGATTTAGAACAACTTCCCCAATACCTATCTCACATCGAACTTTCGCTTTGTTAATCTCCAGAGATTCTCTAATTTTTCGTATCTTGTATTCTTGAACGACTGCCAAGGTCATAGGATTTAGCCAATCAAAGTTACCACGGCATGTTTTGGAATGTTCCGTGGCTCCTGAACTCGACCATTTTTGATTTTTGCAAGCTCTTTGGTGTTCTGCACTTCTTGAAATGATTTTCTTTTTGGTCTCACCAATATATATATTTCCGCATGAGCATTTAAGTTGGTAAACCCCCGGATTTGAGTTCGGAGGTAGTTTAGTTTTGTTGTTGCATAATATATTACTCAAACTAGGAGCTGAAGTAAATATAACTCTGATGTTTTGTTTTTTAAATTCTCTTCGGAGTTTTGGGCCAATAATAGGTATCCAAGGTAGTTTAACAAACTTTTGATTTAACTGATTAGATGTAGTATTTTTTGAAATGCCGTCTAAATAGTTTTTGGTTATTTTAATAAGATTATTTTTATTATAGCCGTTTTCAAAAAATATATTTATGAGGAAATCAATTTCTTGTGAGAGATATTTTTGAGAGCAGATTTGTTTTGCTCGACATAAAAAACCTTTAAAGACGCCAATGGTTATGCTCGGGTTGATGTTGGAGTTTGGTTTTATTTGAACATTTGTTATCGCATCCTTACGGTGTATTTGAAACTCATAAAAACCATTCATTGTATTTGTAATACAAATATCTAAAAAATTAAGTTGTTTTCTTTTGTTTTCAAGTTCAACGGTATATTTTATGGAGGGGTTTTGTTCATTTAAAGCTTTAAGAAATAATTCTTGCTTTTCTTTTGAATCGAAGCGAGCATGGCTATCATCCACATATCTTTTATAAGTTATTGGTTGGAATGAATTAAAAAAGGCTATATCAAGTGCTCTTTTTTCTATACTTTGCAAAAATGCTTCAGCTATGACTACCATCAATGATAAACCAATTGGACCTGAATTAGGTAAAATTCGGATTTTATCTTCGTATAAAAAGTAACATATGCTTAACGATAGTTCAATTAATTGGTGTATATCTATGAGAGTTAATTTAGTCCTAGTTTTCAAATCTTCAAGATCATCGTTCAATATGTTAATAATAACAGGAATTGCTTCATTGATCGGTACGGATGGATATAAATTAATTACATCGAAAGAAACCTGAATTTCATTAGGGTCTATCTTCCATTCTTTAGCATCGTTGACAAAGTTTCTTGAATTAATTAGTCGAGTTATGTTTTTGTTTAATGTTGGTTGGATAATTTTAACCAGATACTCAGATGTTCCATAAGGAGGTGTGTTAATAGTGGAAACAACAGGACGCATTGGGTAGTTTTTTTCCGGTTTGTGTGCTTTAACCACTCCATAGATTCTAGGTGGAACGCAATCTGATGGATACATTTTAAAATAAGTAGCATTGTCTAACTTACCTTGTTTTCTTAATTTACATAATAGTTTTTGAAATTTAGTAGTGAATGTGGGTGTTGGGTCGTAATCAATAATTTTACTATTTTTTATTTGTTCTTCTAATTTCGCTTTTGCTTCATTTTTGCATAATAAAGCAAAACCTGTTCCTTTGTCAAACGGATATATCTTTAGATGTGAATGTTTTTTCAGGTTTTGTAAAGAAAGGCGTTGTTGTTTTGTTAAATTATCTTTTATTTTTAACTTTAAAGAACTGGTTAGAATTTTGGAACAGTTTTGTCGAAGAATCTCTGCTTGTGTTTGTTTATTTTGTTGTTCGAGTTCCAAGGCGCATCAATGGAACATCTGAGTATCTGGTTAAAATTATCCAACCAACATTAAACAAAAACATAACTCGACTAATTAATTCAAGAAACTTTGTCAACGATGCTAAAGAATGGAAGATAGACCCTAATGAAATTCAGGTTTCTTTCGATGTAATTAATTTATATCCATCCGTACCGATCAATGAAGCAATTCCTGTTATTATTAACATATTGAACGATGATCTTGAAGATTTGAAAACTAGGACTAAATTAACTCTCATAGATATACACCAATTAATTGAACTATCGTTAAGCATATGTTACTTTTTATACGAAGATAAAATCCGAATTTTACCTAATTCAGGTCCAATTGGTTTATCATTGATGGTAGTCATAGCTGAAGCATTTTTGCAAAGTATAGAAAAAAGAGCACTTGATATAGCCTTTTTTAATTCATTCCAACCAATAACTTATAAAAGATATGTGGATGATAGCCATGCTCGCTTCGATTCAAAAGAAAAGCAAGAATTATTTCTTAAAGCTTTAAATGAACAAAACCCCTCCATAAAATATACCGTTGAACTTGAAAACAAAAGAAAACAACTTAATTTTTTAGATATTTGTATTACAAATACAATGAATGGTTTTTATGAGTTTCAAATACACCGTAAGGATGCGATAACAAATGTTCAAATAAAACCAAACTCCAACATCAACCCGAGCATAACCATTGGCGTCTTTAAAGGTTTTTTATGTCGAGCAAAACAAATCTGCTCTCAAAAATATCTCTCACAAGAAATTGATTTCCTCATAAATATATTTTTTGAAAACGGCTATAATAAAAATAATCTTATTAAAATAACCAAAAACTATTTAGACGGCATTTCAAAAAATACTACATCTAATCAGTTAAATCAAAAGTTTGTTAAACTACCTTGGATACCTATTATTGGCCCAAAACTCCGAAGAGAATTTAAAAAACAAAACATCAGAGTTATATTTACTTCAGCTCCTAGTTTGAGTAATATATTATGCAACAACAAAACTAAACTACCTCCGAACTCAAATCCGGGGGTTTACCAACTTAAATGCTCATGCGGAAATATATATATTGGTGAGACCAAAAAGAAAATCATTTCAAGAAGTGCAGAACACCAAAGAGCTTGCAAAAATCAAAAATGGTCGAGTTCAGGAGCCACGGAACATTCCAAAACATGCCGTGGTAACTTTGATTGGCTAAATCCTATGACCTTGGCAGTCGTTCAAGAATACAAGATACGAAAAATTAGAGAATCTCTGGAGATTAACAAAGCGAAAGTTCGATGTGAGATAGGTATTGGGGAAGTTGTTCTAAATCGAGATGACGGGGATAAGGTTAAAACAAGAACTTGGGGACCCATTTTGACAAAAATTTAACTGACGTCATTAATATATTTAATTGGTTTTTATATTTGACGCTTTTTAATGTCTTCTTTTTAAACGGTTTGTTTTTATGTTATTTTGTAACGTTTTTTATTATTACCTGATGACGCTGACCACAATAGGTCAGCGAAATATCGTTGATATATTTTTACATCAAAATATATTTAAAAATAGTTATACGCTGCCTTTTTTATTAAAATCAACTTACATATTAAATATATATATATATATATATCGTATAACAAGAAATGACTTTTAAAGATATATATATATATATATATATATATATATATATATATATATATATATATATATATATATATATATATATATATATATATATATATATATATCACGGCAAATTGTGAAATCTTGTCAGGAACGAAAAATTATTTTACTAATCGAGTTGTTAACATCTGGAATGTGCTACCAGCGATTGTAGTCAATGCAAGTTCTACTAACATTTTTAATAGTCGATTTTATGCATTTTCAAAGCTAACCAGGTTACACTGTGTGTCACAAATTATGTCATCATAGTGGTGCCTGATGATGCACCACTTCATTAAAGTTTACAATTCAAACTTTATTCTTTTATTATGTTTTTCTTTTTTAAATGGCTTGTAAATTTTTGATTTATGATTAAACAAATTCAAGTTCACATATATATATATATATATATATATATATATATATATATATATATATATATATATATATATATATATATATATATATATATATATATATATATATATATATATATATATATATATACATATATATATATATATATATATATATATATATATATATATATATATATATATATATATATATATATATATATATATATATATATATATGTATATTATCACCAAATAATTATTCAAATTAAAGCAAAAAAAAAAAAAAAATAGGAAAATCAATCAACCGCTAAAAAGTGCAGATTTTGGCGCAAATTGTTGTGACTTAGTGTGATGTAAAAAAAACATGCAAATTAGTTAATAATATATATACTGGATTTATGATATATACTTTTGACGTTTTTAAAGCCTAGCTTGACAGCCCCCCTTCCTATTTTAGATCGGCAACCCCCCTCCTGCTCCTATATAGAGTTGAATTCCTGCTGCTGTTTAAATCCAACGAGTCAAACTTGTTCTACTTACACAATGTTTTATTAATTTAGAATATTTGCATTTTAATTTAAAAAATGACAGCTATTTTAATTAAAGTGGAAGTAAATCTTACCAATATAAATTTTTTAGAATAATGTTTCAAAAAATGAATTAGATTTTTAAATTATTGAGAGCTTCATTCTTGACCCATAGACCTTCCTAAACATCAATATCTTCCACAATATCAATGCTGCTGTCAAATTCGTCAAAAAATATCACTGGATAGAGCCAGCTCCATCGGCTTAAAAACGACTTACTTTTTTTGTATGCTGCTTTAGTTCGAGAAACTGGTTTATCAATTTTACTCTTGACTAAAAGCATCTTTTGCAACTTCTTTTCATTTGCATTGCTTTTTGAATTGACTTTACAGCTCTCTCAACCACATCATTTACAACCACCAAATTTTTAATAAACGTTTTAAAAGCTAAGAAATCAAGATCAACTTTTCATGCAGCAGAAGGGAACAAAAACCACTCGACTTGCAGCTCATTATGTTCAAGAATATCAAAAACTAGTCAAGACTCAGAACCAATATAATCTGCAAGGGTAAGCGGTTCTTCGTAAAAGTCAAAATCTTCCTTACTTCTTATAAACCCAGTATTATTTTTCCTTCAAAATCATAGGCCTTGGGTCTAGGGTATTGCAACAGCTTTTTTGCTATCTCTTTTTTCATGTTATTTGGTACAGACATGTTTGTATTTGTGAGGGCAAGTACCAACTATGTTTTTCTCATCTATGGAAAACTTCTGCTGCTGCTAGTTCGATTTACTCCAGGAGGAATATCTGCTATATAAAGTGTTGGTCCTAAAAAGGTTTAAAAAGTTTAAAAACCTACATTGTTATTAAAATATAGTAGCATATTAAAAGTAATCTACTTAATTCTAAAATAACCTGGATTGCTGAAGTATCTGATTTTTTAACAGTCAAAAACTTTGGAGCATAAAAGATTGAGATAAAGTTTGCCATTCTCTCTACCTCTGTGATCTTTTCCTAATTAATATTCAGAAGCTCATTAGTCTAATAAGGAAAAAGCAATATCTTAAGGTAGTATATGAACTTAGCCATAAACCGTGCATGATGAATGGCACCAGGCTTGTAAATGTGGGTAGGTTTAATTTCTGGATCCAAAAACATATTTCAAGAACAAGAATCTGTTTATCTTACAATAACTTTATTAACTGTAAATTGAAAGACGAATCATTCTAGTATTGCTTGCAGTAGTATCAAAGCAAACAGTTCTTATATGATCTGCAACATCAAACTCTGTCAGAATGCTCTTGATAGTTATGAGCTGATTAAGTCCTATTCCTGATGTAACTCCTGGAGCTCCAAGCAGATGATTAATCTCTCCTGCTCTCAAAAAAATGCAAATTTGGTCAACTGGTTTATTTTTGTGAGCTGGTATTAAGTCCTAGAAATATTTTTATATTTGAAAAAAATATGAGATTGAAAAAAATAAGAATCTGAATAAGAATTTTGAATTATTATTATATACATAAAATTGTCATTTATAAAATTATACTAAACTAAGAAATTGATTATTTAAATTAACTAGTGAAAGTTTTAATAAAAAAGATAAACAGTTCATAAATTACCATTTATGAAAGTTAGGAAAAAAACATTAAGATTATAAATGATTAAAAACGGCACCTATAAGTACAAAAGTACTTATAGGTGCCGATTTGTAAAAATATTATTTATGCTTTTTAAACAACGCATTATTTAGGTTGTTTTCATAATATTTGCGAACCTTGTATTTGTATTCAAAAAACGTCTGTGAGCAAAAGTATTACAAAAGCAAAAGCAAAAGTATTATCATTATAAAATGGTTAATTGCATTTAAAGAGCTCTGACCCCTTACAAGATTTTTAGAGGCAAGATATGCAAATTTAATACATTTTAAATTTAAAATACATATTGTTAAGGACTTTGCATAACATTTTTTAGGACTCAATAATTCGCGCCAAAATCTGCACTTTTTAGCGGTTAATTAATTTTCCTATATATTTTTTTTGCTTTAATTTGAATAACCATTTAACGCAAGGTGATCCAATAGAGATAAAAGTTTTTTTCA